ATCTCCCCTCTGATACTCACTGGCTTTGTGACTGTGGGAAAGTCAGTTCACTTCTCTGAGGCTCTTTTCTTATCTATAAAGTGGAGATAATAAAACCTGTAGCACCAACCTCTATCTCATTGGGCTGATGGGAGCCTCAGATGAGCTAATGTACAATTGTAGACTTTTAAGTGCTATATTAACGTCGGCTGCTATTATCTTCATCTTACAGACGAGGAGATGGAGAGTCAGTTAGTGTGTGTGTCAGATGAGTCCAAAACTCTTACCGCTATTGCACATGGCCTTTCCTTCCACGTGTATGCCACCAGCCCATCCCCCCCTTTCCCTTCTTCCCTCTCCTCTCTCCTACCTGCTGATGTACAAGATTTGGAACTTCCTCTTTCTTTACCTTTACAGTGGTCAAAGAGCATTGCAGGACCTTGGAAGAGCCCGCTTTTGGGAAAAGCAAGATAGGGTGCATGAAAGTGCCATAAAAGTACATATAAATTATCTAAACCCAAGGTGGTGGTTATTATTATTTCCTTCTTGGATCAGGGCCTTCTGAATAAAGTAAAACAGGTCTGTCAGGTTATCTCTGATCATAAGCTGTACCTCTCCACACTGCCAGATGCTCATCATTTTTAGAGGCACCGACTATCGGTCTAAGGGCAATCCGTCTCCTGAATCCCAGAGTCTCTGACTTGGAAGAGAGTGACGTCTAAGGCTGCCTGGTCTGTACCTGAAGCACTGTCTCCTCCACAAAACCCCCACCAGGTGGATCATCAGCCTTTGCTTTGAAGCTCTCCAGAGAAGGGCCACTCCCTCCCTCCCTCCCAGGGCAGCCATTTCTACTTCTGGATGGCTGTAATTAAGAAATTTTTTCCTCGATCAGCCTCTGGCCAACTTGCACCCTTAGCTCTTAATTCTGCCATCTGGGGTCAAACAAAACCAGTCTAATTCTTTGTCCACATGACTCCATTTCAAATACTTTACGATTACTCTCATGTTTTAGATAAAGCTCATCTTCTTCAGCTAAAACGTTCTCAGTTTCTTCCACGAATCCTTGTGTAGCATGAAGTTTACGCCTTTACCATACTGGTCGATTTTTATCTGTGCAGCATTACTTGTATACGTCCCTTTCTCTCATCTCATCCCGCCACTATCCTGGTACAGGGTTTCATCACCTAGACTATTGCAGTTATCTGCTGGTTGGTCTGCCTGCCACAAGTCTCTTCCCATTCCAGTCCATCCTGCATTCAGCTGTCAAAGTGATCTACTTAAGCACAGGTCCAGTCATGTCACCTCACTATTGAATCAATTCCAGTGGCTCCCTATCATTTTCAGGATCAGCTATACAATTTTCTGTTTCACTTTTAAAGCCCTTCGTGATGGAGATCACTGACACAGTGTCTCAATAGTTTGTTCAGATTTATTAACTTAAACTCATTAGGGAAAGCTGTGTAGTCTTATTTATCTCAGATTTCAACTCCCTTCTAGTCAGTTTTGCTCTATCTTTTGTAGGGATCATTCTGTTTGGGAAACAACCAAATCAGCAGCAATATAAGAACTGGGTGTTTCTGCCTTCTTTCAATTATCATTGGTATTTCTGCTGCCTTTGGAGGACCTAGAGAGTTTCTTTCTTTTTTTTTATTAGTTTATTTTGATTTGTCAACAATCACTTCCAGAAGCTTTTGAGTTTTAAATTTTCCTCCCCCCCCTTCCCACCTCCCTCCCCAAGATGGTGCATAATTTGATATAGGCTCAACATATACATTCCTATTAAACATTTTCACATTAGTGATGTTGTAAGGAAGAATTAGAACCAATAGGAGGAACCACCAGAAAGAAGAAACAAAGCAAAACAGAAGAAAAAAATAGCAAATAGTATGCTTCAATCTGCATTCAAACTCCATGGTTCTTTCTTTGGTTGTGGATAGCATTTTCCAACTTGAGACCTTTGGAGATGTCTTAGATCCTTGCATTGCTGAGAAGAGCTAAGTCTATCAACGTCAGTCATCACAGAACATGGCTATTACTGTGTACAATGTTCTCCTGGTCCTGCTTATTTCACTCAGCATCAGTCCATACAAGTTTTTCCAGGTTTTTCTGAAGTCTGCTTGCTCATCATTTCTTATAGCACAATAGTATTCCATTACATTCGTATACCACAACTTGTTCAGCCATTCTCCATTTGATGGGCATCTTCTTATTTTCCAATTCTTTGCCATCACAAAAAGAGCTGCTATAAGTATATTTGTATATGTGGGTCCTTTTCCCATTTGTATGATCTCTTTTGGATACAGCCCTAGAAGTGCTATTGCTGGGTCAAAGGGTATGTACATTTTTATAGCCCTTTGAGCATAGTTCCAAACTGCTCTCCAAAATAGTTGGATCATTTCACAACTCCACCAACAATGCATTTGTGTTTCAATCTTCCTACATCTCCAACATTTATCAGTTTCCTGTTTTATCATGTTGGCCAATCTGATAGGTGTGGTGTGGTACCTCAAAGTTGTTTTGATTTGCTTTCTCTAATCAATAGTGATTTAGAGCATTTTTTCATATGACTATAGATGACTTTAATTTCTTCATCTGAAAACTGCCTACTCATGTCCTCTGACCATTTATCAATTGGAGAATGACTTGTATTCTTATAAATTTGACTTAATTCTTTACATATTTTAGAAATGAGGCCCTTATCAGACTCACTGGTTGTAAAAATTCTTTCTCAATTTTCTACTTCCCTTCTAATCTTGGTTGCATTGGCTTTGTTTGTGCAAAGCAAAGGGGACCTAGAGATTTTCATAGAAGAAACAAAGTCAATCGTGTTAGAAAGCAACACCTTGTATCATAGAGAGAATTTACATTATATGACAGAGGGAACTTGATTTTTAGACACTCAGAGCGGCACGGGGAAAGGGGATCAAAGAGGACATGAGAGATGTGTTGGTATGAAAATGACCTGAAAGACAAAGGGTACAACTAGATCTCTAGAGAGGGTATTATATAGGGTCCCCACTTCACCTGGGATGGTCACAGGATCATAGAGTTAAGGCTGAAATGGATCTCCTAAGGTTATCTGGTCCAGCCTCTTCATTTTTTTGGGGGGTGAATGGGGGAGGCAATCAGGGTTAAGTGACTTGCCTAGGGTCACACAGTTACTAAGTGTCTAAGGCCAGATTTGAATTATTCCAGGGCCCATGCTCTATCCACTGCACCACCTAAATGCCCCTACCAAGCTCTCCATTTTACAAATGATGGAATTGAGGGCCAAGGTTAAGTGACTCTCCCAAGGTCACCTAGGTAGCAAATGGCAGAGTTGGGATTTATCCTCACATCAGATTTTCAGGAGGGAGGACATTGGTGATCTAGGCTAAAAGCTTCCTGCTGCCATAGCAACCAGGCTCTTAGTTACTCTACCATTTTTTTTTTTTCCTGCAGATTATTTAGGCTGTCCTGCACAATAGTGTTGGGCTTGGCTGTGAAAGAGGGATAAGTTTCTTATAAGGAGGGTCAGAGTCTTGATCAAATGTATACGATTAATTTCCCACTCCCAGTGTCACAGATGGAGAGATGCCAACCATAGGAGACTGAAGTATCTAGCGTCGACTTTCATGTAGAATAATAGCAAGCACTTACAGAGTCTTCAAGGTTTGCAAAGCGCTTTACTTATATTCTCATTTGATTCTCAAAATAGCTGTGGGAATTAGGTGCTCTTATTAATCCCATTTTTGCACATGTGGAAACTGAGGCATACAGAAGGTAAGGGACTTTGCAGCCTCAGTTCATTCTGAGCTTTAGCTTTGCTAACACTGTTCATATAGGACTATGCCACTCTTTTGAATCTGTTCTCTTTGCTTCTGTCTTTTGTAAATCTCTTTAAAAAACCAACAAACAAACAACTAAGCTGTCTGTAAGTGCATCCACATTGGTCTCTTTAGACAACTCTTCTTTTCCTCCTTATTAGAACTATTTATTTGCATATCTTCAGAATTTCGTAGTTGAGAGCTTTGTATTCATTCTGGACCTTTTGAAACTTGCTTTCCCCAATGTGTGTCTGACGGTGCCTGATTTTCCTGTTCTTTTCTGCTCTGAGTGCTGAGATGGGAGCATGTCCCCACTAAAGTTCCCACTGTTTCTACCTCAGTGATCAGTTCGTCTTCATTCATCAGAATCAGGGAAATCATTGCTTTCCCTTCGTTTTGAAGAATGAAATTATCAGTAAGACAAAGTCAAGAATGTATTAACTATGCTGAAAATTTCAAGATAACTGAAGTCCCCCATTTACTACTGTATCATGCTGCCATATCAGACTTGTGGTCTGTTTCCTGAACTCCTCATCTAATTCTTCCTTATATTCGGGTGGTCTGTTGTTTATCACCATGAAAATATTGCTTCTCTTTCTTCTTTCACTGATCTTCACTAAAAGGATTTCCACTGTGCTTTCCTGTTCTGGTCACTCTACTTTATCATATGAGTACATCTTCATAATGAATAAATCATAAGCCTTTATTCTCCATTTATAATTTTTACTGGTGAACACGGATCCTCAGCTTCATGCCTACAGAAAGGAATAACAATCACCAAGCTCATTAAATTGTGCTTCTTCTAACACTTTCATTTCCAAAGTTAACAATTCTGTTTATATAAGACCATCTGCCTTCATTGTGGGCTCTTAGTAATGTATTTACATTTTACAGCTGATGCGTTTTACCTTATGGAGTCAGGTTCAGCTGACACTCCTGCTCATAACTGTAATCCAAGCAGAAGGGCTTTAACAGAGAACTAACCTTGGGAATAGAAGTGTAATCCTTCCCAGCAGTTGCTTCTATTCTGCAAAGCAGGGAATAACATTGTTAGAGTTCTAAGTATGACTCATTTGTTGATCTCTAAGCTCCTTTTTTAAGTCAACAAACATTTATTAAGCACTATGTCCCACCTGCTTTTTTCAGAAGGAAAAAGAGAGTGTCTCCAGTAGACTGTATATTAAACGTTGCTTGGGATTATTTTTGTTTCCCCAGGAAGGATCAATACCTCCTCTCTCCTGTGAATTGTTGGTATCTCGTGTTGAATCAGACCCGGCGTGAGAGTAGGGACCACGCTACCCTCAATGACATCTTTATGAACAACGTCATCGTCCGTCTCTCCCAGATCAGTGAGGATGTTATCAGGCTCTTCAAAAAGGTGAGTGGGAGGTCAGTACTGGGAGTATTGGGTTTGTGGAAAAGATGGAAATGTCAGAGCTCTGGTCAACCAAATGTAAGTTATGAAAGATGCTAGATTAGACTGGAAGTGGGGACACATGTGGCTAAGGGGAAAAGAAGAGTACATTAGTCGCATAAGAATGCAGGTTGCTTCCCTTTTTCTGAAACACACTACTTCACTGGCCCATTAAACTCTTTCCTTGTAAGTCATATACTGACAAATTCAATTACCTACCCATGGGAATTACCCACTTTGTGGATTAACCTCAATAGTTTTAAAGTACTAGACTTCACTTGACCATAGTAGCTACTTATAATGAATCTAGTCTTCCTTTCCCTGTTGTCAGTTGATGGGTGCTTAAGGAGCAGAAACTGATTTTAATATCAACCCAAATAAAGTATAGTTAGCAAAGGAAATCTGCTGCAAAAAGATACATGTTCCAAAGTTAAGTAGACGTGACTTTGGGATAATATGTTGTTTTCACTACCTGTATCTAATTGTTGGCCAAATCTTGTTGATTCTGCATTTTCAGCTCTTGCATATATCTCTTTTCCACTCCCATAGCTACTGTCCCAATCCAGGCCCTCACCATCCTCTCTCCAATCCGTCCTCCATACCACTACCAAAATCACCTTTCTAAGACCCAGGTCTGACCACTGCTCAGAAAATCGTCACTGGCTCCCTATTACCTCTAGAATAATTTCTTTTCAAACCCCTCTGTTTGGCATTTAGAGCCCTTTGGCTCCAAATTCATTTTACTTCCCCTTCACATATTCTACTTTTTAGTCAAATCAGCCCATTTGCTATTCCTCAAACTTGATATTTAATTTCCTATCACTATGTCTTTGAATAGTTTTTTCCCCCATGACTGAAATGTACACCTTCACCTCTGTCTCTTAGGATCTCTAGTTCCAAGATTCAAGGCCTATAGGAATTCCTTCATGAGCCTTCCCAACCAACACAATGAATGTGTTTAATAGTATAGGTACTATTCTATACCCACAGTCCTCTGCCCCTGCAAAGAAGGGAGGGAGTCATATTTTCTTAATACTTTTCTATTCAAGATTTGTCACATTCTCTCTCTCCCTCTCTCTCTCTCCTTTCCTCTTTTTCTTCTTTCTTTCCTTCTTCCCTTCCTTCCTCTGACACTGTTGTAGCTTTTGCGTGTATTGCTTTCCTGGTTCTGATGACTTTGATTTGCATTAGTTTATATGTCTTTCTAGACCATTCTGAATTTTTTCTATTCATTGTTTCTTGTGGTGCAGTCATATTCCATTATACCCATGTGCTAAGATTTGTTTAGCTTTTCCCCATTTGAAGGGGATTGGCCATGCTTTCATAGCCTTTCATTCATATTTCAATACTTGAAAGCTTTAAAAGTACATTTATTTTTTTTTCTTTGATACTAATGTAGACTAACCTTTCCCTCAGATTTCATGGTAGTTCAGAGCTGGGTGTGGGTGGGTAAAAGAATAATACTCTGACAGCCTTTTAGCCTTGCTGAAGTTGACCAGGGCATTGATTGTGGGGAACTAAATACAGTTATGGCGGCTCCCTTATCCTGCATAGTTGCTATATATGTGTTCAATCCCTTAGTTTCTCTGCTTTTTTTTTTTTAACTATCTCGATACTGCAGTTGGTTAAAATATCATGTTTCCTTCCACCATGGAAGTATCACATCCTAAGGGCTGAATTCCTTCTTTCCAGTTGGTGGTATGTGGTTTTCTGGGTTTGTATGAATGAAGATGAGGGTCATACATCCTGAGATAGAATCAGTCTCTTTTGAGGACAGACTGACCTTTATCACCTTTCTCCCCATGTCTCCTGCCCCCCCCCTTGCCTTAAAAGACATGTGTTTACAGGGGCATCCTTTTCTTTCTAGCTCATCACCTTCCTTCAGGTGTCAGGCTTAGGAATAATGGGATGGTTTGATGAGCAGGGAGCACAGAGGAGGAAGGAAAGCCAATTTAAAATGTAATCAACCCTCAATTATCTCCAGGTGGATCATCCACACTGCAGATTATTTTTGGTATGTTTTTAATACCAAACTGACTTCCCTGGCTAGTCTTTGTGCTTGAGATGCTTACCTGCTCACTCCCCAAGTCCATGAAATACTAGCCAAGCTTATTATTTCCCTTAGCAAATTGTCAAGGCAGTGCACTGGAGGGGAGTGAACACTTGGGCTTGAGTTCCAGCGCTGACACCAACTCTCCAGGGGTCATGGAATTTTACATTTAGAGCTGGAAGGGCCCTCAAAGGCCATGCAGTCCAACCCCCTTATTTTACGGACAAAGAAACTGGGGCCCAGGGTTGTTAAATGACTTACTCCAGGCTACTCTGGTAATAAGGATCAGAGGTAGGATTTGAATACAGGTCCTCTGACTCCTGAACTAGTATAATGGTACTTGGGCAAGTCACCTCTACCTTAGTCTCAATTTCTTCACCTATAAAATGGGGTTAACTGTAATTTCACCACCTACTACTAGGTTGTTATAAGGAAAGTGCTTTGTAAATTGTAACGTTCTCAATATAAATGTGAACTGTTACTACTGATTATTTAGTACTAATTAGGAAGGCTAATTCATATATCTATATATGTGTGTGTATGTATGTACATATATGTGTGTATGTGTATATATGTGTGTGTGTGTGTGTATACATATATATGTATATAAAGTCTCCCTACTTAACTCTTCTCCCTCAAAATATATTGAGTCATATGAGAGAACAGTATTTGCAAACATTAAACACTATATAAATGCTAGCTATTATTATTATGGGCAGCTAGGTGGCACAATGGATGGAGCTCCAGGCCTAGAATTTGGAAGACCCAAATTCAAATTCGAAGTCAGACACTAGCTATGTGGCCCTGGGCAAGTCACTTAGTCCTGTTTGCCTCAGTTTCCTCATCTGTGAAATGAGCCAGAGAGGGAAATGGCAAACTTCTCCAGTATCTTTGCCAAGAAAACCCCAAATGGGATCATGAGGAGTCAGACACTACTGAACAACAACAGCAACATTGTTATTGTTATTATTGGAATGATTACTAAACATCTACCAATTTAAATTATACGAGAGGCAGCCTGTTGTAGTGGAAAATGTTAGACTGAGAGTCAGGAGAGACTAAGGTCTCAATGTTGCCTCTGATGCCTACTACAAGCTGTGTGACCCTGAGTGAGTCACTTACCCTCTGTTTGTCTCAGTTTCCTCATCTGTAAAATATATAGTACTTCCCTTCTAGGGTTACTGTGATGATCAAATAAGATGATTTATGTAGAACTTTTGCAAACCTTGAAACGTCAGCTATTATTTTTAGTACCTCTATACCCTGCCCCCTCCCTTCTCCAAATTCAAGCACAGATATTTGAGAAGTATTTACATTTAATGGAGCTAGGTGGCTCAATAGGTAGAGGGCTAAACCTGGAGTCAAGAAAAACCTGAGTTTGAATCCTGCCTCAGGTACTAGCTGCCTGAGCCTAGGTAAGTCACTTAACCTTTCAGCCTTACTTTACTCATCTGTAAAATGAGGATAACAGCACGTCTACTTCACAGGGTTCTTGCCAGGATCAAATAATATAGCATATATCAAGTGCTATGCAAACGTGCAAGTGTTATGTAAACACTAGCTATTACTAGTATTTGCCAAACCTTAAATTGACATATAAATGCCAGTTGTTATTTTTTTGTGTGCCTTCCTCCCCTTCCTCCTCCTATCCCCGCA